TTCACTGGACGACAGAGAGTTCGTCGGTCGCCCGCCGCGGTCGACCGAGAGCTTCCTTCGGTCGACCGCACCGGTCGACCGGATAAGTCAGCTGGTGTTTTTCTCGTGTTTGACCTGGATAGCGGTCGACCAAAATTTCCGTCGGTCGACCGATCGTTTCTGTCGGTCGACCGCGAATTTCTTCGGTCGACCGCCGCTCCTTCAGTACTGTTTCCAACGGGTAGTTTTATTACCGTTGTGGGGCTGTTTTGGTCTTTTGTTTTGGGAGTTTTGGCTGAGATTTCTAGTGGGTATAAATACCCTATTGCTGTTGTTTTTCAACCAATCTAAGAAGTTTTTAAACAAGTTTTAAACAAGGGTTTAAGTGTGTTTAAGGGTTTGTTTTGTTTAGAAGTTTTCACAAGTGGAGGAGATCATCTTCTTGTTTGGGCTCAAATCTCCATCTCTCCATCTTGATCTAGAGAAGTTTTCCTAAACTCAACTCTAGCTTTTACTTATAATTATTTGTTAATTATCATTTCTATTAAAGCTAGATTTATATTGAGTTTAGACTTGTTTTTATATTACTCATTGTTACACACACCCACATTGAGCTTTTAGTATTTACATACATAGTATAGTTGGGTGGTGAGAGATTATAATTTTGAGTTGTGCTTAATTGAGTTCTCACCTTGTTTAGAGAACAATCAATTGACTTATATTATGCTTCTTGTGAGATTCACTTTGTAATACACTTGTACACCGAGAGGAGTGTGTGGTGAGAGTCGGGGATCGTCCCAAGAGGAGTAGTATCGGTTGACGTGCCTAGAGAGAGGTTGTAACCGAGCACTTGAGGGAGACACGGCTAGGTCCAACACTTAGTGGGTGTAGAGTGTGATTGCAAGAGTGTGAGTTGTAGAGTTTTCGGTTAGCTAGAAAACCGAGTGTGTAGAAGAAGTTCCGGCTTTCAAACCGGATTGTGTTCTAATATCCAAATCAAAATCTCCAACCAGTCATCAAGTTAACACTACACTTCTGCTTGACTATAAATGCATTACCCCCATTATATTAACATTATGCCTATGGATGGTTTGTGCCCCAATGACCCAATTGGTTAAAGTCACACCTCTGTCGATTTGTCTTTTTGGATTCGACTGGTTAACATTACACCTCTGTCAATCCACAGTTCTCAAAAATCAACTAGTTAACATTACACTTCTATTGATTTCTAACCATTTAGTTAACATTACACTTTTAAACGATAGTTATCTAGATTCCTCTAAATCTTATTGGTTAACATTACACTTTTGTTGGTTGATCTATTTGTCATGTTAACCCTACACCTCTGTCAAAAACTCTAATACTATCATGTTAACATTACACCTTTGAATAGTCTCAAACCTAATATGTTAACACCACACCTCTATCAGTTTGATTCTACCACCTCTAACCCTAACATAGATATCAATACGACACATTAATACTACATCTCCATCATACACATATCAAATGACAAAGGTTCTCTATTATTATCAAAAGAGCTAAATTATTGCAGAAGAGGGAATCCTAAAGGAAAAAGGGAAAGAAAGATCAAATTCACTTAATGTGCTCAGCCATCTTAACTCTCTGGCATCGAGAGCCCCTTTTAGAGCTCTCTCTTTCAAGACCTCTGGATCGATATAGATGACTTGAGTTTTAGCAGCTTCTAACGGAGCTGTTTAAATCTGCAGTTGAGAAGTGTTAAAATCTCACTCAGTGGTGAGCTCAGAGAACTTGAATTCAAGCTTCTTTTTCTGCTCCTGAGCCATCTCTAATTTGGTTTGAGCCTCAGCTATGATGGCCTTGGCCTCCTTGATGATAGTCTCATTCGAGAATGGTGTTTTCAAGCTCCGTCCACTTACCATCACTTTCGGTGAGCGACCAATTCTTGGAACCAATTGTCAACACAGGCTCGCTAGTAATAGAAATAGACACGGAAGCCACTTTGTTACCGATTTTTGGCTCAGGTTCGTCATCTACAAAAAGATGAATAAAATGTTAATTGTCAAGACAAAGAAACTACATAGACTTAACCAAAGTAGACCATACCTAGCATGTAGGAATAACCACTGGTATCACCCTTGAAGCCAGTGTCATCGGGTTTAGTGAGGTAGGTTTCAGTATCGGCCTTGTAGTTGACCCGTTCATCACCGTCTAAATCCTTTTGTTCAAGAGGGACGGGTTCTTCACCTACATAGACATTGTACATGTTAACCAAGTGTGCTTCAACCAAATTGATGCAAAGGTATAAGCAGGAGGTTTACTAGAAGTTGCTATGGGCTCAACCGCAAGCTCCTGTGTCGGAGCTGTGGAAGGATCCTCTCTCATCCTTGTAGAACCCTATGACACATAGTACTTCACCGAATTTAGTAGTTCTATGTGTCGCTTTTTGGATGGCTCCTGTGAATGTTGGTTTGTAATGGCCTTTTTCCCTAAGCACCTCTTCCTCTACTATGTGCTCCTTGGTGAACCGCAGATTACGTCGGTTCCCAAATACTAAACCGATGGGCCTTTGATGTGATGGTTGTCTACGTGTCCCTGAGTCATCATAGTCACTTTCTTGCCCAACCTCCTTTAAATATTCTTGGAGTCTAGGAGCTTGACTTTTCAGACCTTTCTTGTAAGCTTCCTTATGCTTCTGGATGATCCAGATGTTGTAAGGCACAATGGGTGTCATAAATCAGACATTTAGGACAACCTCACTATACCCCCCACCTGTCACTAGTACAAAACAGGTCAGCCCAAACGGTTGGAACCGTTTGGGAAAACCCCCTCCCAAACGGTTCTAACCGTTTGGGAGAGGGAAAAAACATGTTTGGGCTAAAGCCGTTGGGGATGAGTTTTCCCTAACGATCGCTCAAACGGTTGTAACCATTTGGGCAACGGCCCAAACGGTTACAACCGTTTGGACGTTATCCCAAACGGGTGAAACCGTTTGGGACAACAGTATATGCCAAATGGTTGAAACCGTTTGGCCAAAAACTTGGCCAAACGGTTTGAACCGTTTGGCCTACAGTTAGGCCAAACGGTTCCAACCGTTTGGACAAGTTTTTGGCCAAACGGTTTCAACCATTTGGCATATATTGTTGTCCCAAACGGTTTCACCCGTTTGGCCAAGTATCTGGCCAAACAATCACAATCATTTGGCCTATTAATTTTAATTATTTTTTATTTTAGTATTATTTATTTACCTGCTTACATTTAATATACATATTTTACACAATGATTACTCAATACCTGTCACTAGTACATAATGATTACTCAATATCTGGCCAAGTATCTGGCCAAACGATTACAACCATTTTATTTATTTATTTATTTATTTACCTGCTTAGAATTATCATTATACTTAAGGTGATTAAAGGGCTGTTACTTCTTCACCATCTAAACAGTCGAGAACTTTCATATCAAACCAATATGTGTCTTTCAATTTTAAACAGGTTTAGCTTGTGGTGTAATCGTAATCCTCAGTTTTACAATTTTTACCTAGCAAAAGTTCAATCAAATCATGCACATTAATAAAATGATACATTATCCTGCAAAATTGATACATTATCATGCAAAATTGGCAATTGCAATAAGATTCAATGAGGAAAAAGAAAAGGAAGAACTTTTCATGTAAACGTAATCATGAATAACCATAAATTTTAGAATATACAAGATAATAGCAGAAAAAACTCAATATTTCCTAAAAGTAAGAAAACTCCCAGAAATTACCTTAAATAAGTCTGCTGGAGAAAGAGGATGCCTGAGGAAGAGAAGACGACGTCGGGAAGTCGATTAATTTGCTGTAAATAGGAAAATTTGAGTTAGATGGTCAATTAAATTAGGCTTAGGGTTTTGTAAAGATGAGATAACACTAATTTACAGAGAGGATGTGTGGAATCGAGAGGCTATTGAGGAGGAGGCAGAGTAGCGGTGGAGGAGGAGGCGAGGAGCGGTGGAGGAGGAGACGGATGAGAGGTGGAGGAGGCGGAGGAGCGGTGGAGGAGGAGGCGAGGAGCAGTGGAGGATGAGGCGGATGAGAGGTGGAGGAGGCGGAGGAGCGGAGGAGAAGGCGGAGAGCTGTGGAGGACGAGGCGGAGGAGCGGGTTTTTAGGGAAATTTTTGGGGGTGATATCGCGGGTTCAGAGGGAGAACGGGGAAATATAGGGGGGAAATGAAATTTCAATTTTGTAGGATCCATCAAAACTCTCAAACGGGTTTATCCGTTTGGTATAAAACTCTCAAACGGGTTTATCCGTATGGGTTTTTCTATACTCCCAAACGGTTTAAACCGTTTGGAATTATTATCCCACACGGTTTGAACCGTTTGGGCTATCTTGATTTGTCCAAACGGTTCCAATAACCGTTTGGACTGTCCTGTTTTGTACTAGTGTGTGACCCTTTCATAACTCTTTGAATAGGAGTTGGTTTTGGTAGTCCAAGCTTTGTCATAATATAGGGCTTTGCAGGAGGTCAGCCTGTCTTGATTGAGTCACCCCATCATTTGTAGTAGACCCTTGTTTGTCTGGGCCCCTGTCCTAGTCATTACTACTTCTACAATGTCCCCTGAGCTATGTTGATGAGGTCATGCAACCTACCAAGGGTAATTGTTGCAGCTCTTCTTGGCCGACCTGACTTTCCCCATTCTCCTTTTTATGGGAATCTTATCATCCCTTGGTGCGTACAGGTTACTGCCTGAAGGAGGCTCAAAGAGGGTCTTTTGAATGCTGCGTTATAGGGGGATTCCATCAGATTATGAAGAATATCACCACTATCATTATTTAGCATGGAGGGATCCCTATGAGCAGTAGAAGGTTTACTATTCCATGGGGTCTTACAGTATGTCCTGTGAAGCTTATTAAGGGACTCGAGCAAGGTCTAAGGAAGTGGCGTGAGTCTCTTTTTCGAATAAACTCATTATCATGTAGGACATAAACTGAGCTTTCCTTGTCAATCAAAATTTTACTGATTTCTTAGTCATATATTCTGGCTGAGATCATGATGGCAATATTGCTTAGTGATACATACTTTTTGTTGTTGCTCTTGAAGTTAGAGCTTCATTGGATCAGCGCCACTTCAAAGTTGCCTCAGTGTTACTCCTCCTAGGGATGCTTCTTGCTTTTGAGCCCAGTCGATCACCCCCACTCAATGTACTTAATTCTATTGAACTTAAATCTCGACTAAGCTTGATTCATCCATTATCGGGCTCAACGCATTGGTATAGGTGTCCTTGTCGTATTAGCTCCTCAACGTCTTGTTGTAGCGCTCTGCAGTCGTCAATCATGTGCCCAGTTTCTTTATAATAATGGCAATATTTATTTTTATCACTTGTTGTGATCTACCAAATTTTGGGGTGCTTTCGAAAGGTGCCCTTAAAGTCTAGCTTGTTGGTGAAATTGTGATTACAGCTCATTCATAGGTGTGAAGGTTAAGAACGTTGTCAGTTGAAACTCATTTTCTGTTCCTTTTGTCCCCTGCTTGCCACTTGTTTGGTCGAGCTCCTCTCTCTCTCTTGGTTTTCTCATCAGGCCTAATATTTGCTAGGGATTCCTCAGCGTCCATATAATCTTTTCTCAGCAAATGATATCATTGAAGTTCCTCAGGGCTGGTTAAACAGGTCCTGATGGAAGTCTTTATGAGTTAGCCCATACACCATCCTAGCTATGGTGACGTGATTGTAAGGATCTTGAAAATCAAGACGCTTGTCTTAGCATCACCTGAAATACTAACTTACGGTCTTGCCTGGATCTTGCTTCGGTTGGAGAAATGTAGTTAGGGAGGCCTTTCCTTTTGTTTTAGCAAGGAAGTGGCCAATAAACAGATTGGAGAGCTGATAGAAGTTGTGGATGGACATTTAGGGTAGGAAATTGTACCAGATCTTGGTTTTACCACTCTACGTGTTTTAGAAATATTGACTCATCAGGACGTCATCCACCCTGGCTATATCTCTATCGCATTGTGGTAGTTGCTTTAGTGCTTGATGAGACACCCTTTCCCTCTATAGACTTCCAACTTAATTAGGAATCTTAATCTGGTGATGAGGTGCATTCATGATGTCGTTGGTCCGGGGCGAGCTCCCATCAAGCATATTGTCATAGGTTGGATTGTACCCCTAGGAAGCCAATTTGAATCATTCAAGATCATACCTTGGGACTTGGGTTATCCGGTCATAGGGATGGTTTAAATACCCGGTAATAGCTCTTTGCCCAGTTGACGGACCTGGGTTTGTCTTGGTGGTGTTGTTTGCTTGTTCATTTGGTCAGGTTTTCCCCATCAAATTTATTGGATCGGATCGCAGCATTTGGATTGTGCTCGTCATCAGCGTGGTTATGTTGTTCTTGAGGTATCGCGGGCTCTTCCTCGAGGACTAAGGTTGCCTTTATATTCTTGAAGGCCTTTTTTATTGTTCCTCTAAAATCATCATGATCATAGCCTTGATCTATTGGTGTTGCCATTCATCCTCTTTTGCATGGGAATTCAAAGTACTCAACCTGCCTGGCGAGTTAGTACCTTCATCATTATTAAAAACGGATCAGAGTGAGGACCTATGATGGGCACCAACTGTTGATGCATGAAATCAACTTAAAAAGATTGAGTTCGTAAGTTTAAACTTGATTGATGAGGGCTCTTCAATTAGCTTAAATGATAGCAGTAGGTCTTCGCACCTACGAATAGATGAGTCTACTTAGCTTGGATTGAGATCACAAAAAAAGTGTCGGATTGACGACAGTGGGTTGTTCACATGTGCCCCTCTAATGTATAAGTCAGATTCTTGATAAAGAGGTGGTAAATAGATAGGCTAGGGTTTTAGAGGAAGATGATCCTTACCCAGGTTGGCCATCGTGAGCCTAACTCAAAGTTTAATCTTTAAAGAGGTATTTGTACTAATTGCCAAGGGGAGATCAGCCTCTACACATGTCACTATCATGACGGCTAAGGTTGTTATGGTGTATACCTAAGAGATACAGCAGTGCAACAAGTGGAAAAACGCACGTTCTCAAAGTTTAATAGCCAATACAATTTAACGACATATATACATAATAGATACAAGTGAGAAGAGATCAAAGACGACCAGACTAACTTCATTTTAAAGATTGTACTTTGCTACATTCTTTTGTTTTGTTTTAAAGAATTTAGATGATTTAGTTTATTACTATTTATTGGATTTTCAACTAGCCATTGTTTCATTAAACAGCTTACATATATTTTTTGAAGTAAGGATAATTGTGCAGTTTAGATATGGTCTTCAAACGTTGTTAATTAATGGAAATGGCTGGTAAGAGACCATCTTTCGCCCTATTTTGTATGTTTTATCTATAGTCTCATATTGGCTGATCATTTTTCTGCTCTTATTGGTTTGACTTGTAATGGTTATTATTTTTATCAATAGAAAACGCTCATGCCATCTTAGTAAACCATCTGTGCGTTTTTGTCGATAACTCAGCTTCGTAATCTACAATGCTGCTACTTTATCTGTAAACGACTGACATTAAACTTACCAAAAGAAGTGGTTTCAGATGAAGACGCTTTGAGATATCCAGAAGAATAGGATTCATATCCTCTTTATTATAAGAAAATAGTAGAGGTCACTGCAATTTCATAATCATTAATTTGTTTAGTTGTGATTGTGATTTGCGTTTGAGTTTAAATTAGGAAAATAGTGTAATTCATAGAGATACTGTAAGAGTTAAACATGGAATGAATCACGACCATGTACTAAACAAATAAGAGTTATGTGCATATATACCCCTTAAATCATGGGCATTTGCCAAAATACGACCTAAATATTAGTATTTACAAAACTACCCCTCAACCATCAACTTTGTGAAAAAATACCCTTAAAATTAACAAATAATCAACTTAGGTGCTAAATTTCAATTATTTTGTTGATAATTTTTACCTTCTGATTACAAATTAGCTTATCAAAATTAATGATTAATTGCTTTGATAGTAGCCTTCTCTAAAATTGATGATTTTAGTAGTTTTGCAAATACTAATACTTGAAGACCATTTTCACAAATACTCATGATTTAAGGAGCATATAAATAATACGAATGAAAATGGCTGTAATCTTGTCATAATCTCTCCACTACTTTTTTATTTTATATTTTTTGGTAATCGGGAGAATCCAACTCCATTTGCTCAAATCTATGAAAATGGAACCAGATTCAGCGGATTGAAGAATGGAGAACAAAATAAACCCCTCACTCCACAATGTACTCCACGCTTAAGACCGATCTAACTTAAACCAGAAGTACCAATCATTTGTGCATAATTAAATGCCAGTTGAGTGATAAACTCAACGAGAGAGACAATAATATGCAGGAACTTACAAAGCGTTTAAATAAGAAATAAATGAGGGAACAGAGTGACTTGTTGGGGTACACAGTGACATTTCCGATCTCATCAATTCCTAGCATCATTGTTAGATGCAGAACTAGCTACTCATCAAATACATTAACCATCTAGAAACAAGCAAGTATAACACTGCAATTGAAAGTCTGCTCTAAAGCGAAGCAACTATCAGTAAGTTAATACTTAGAAAGATAATACTTAGAAAGAGGTAACAGATTTAAAATCAAACTACCTAAAGGGGTCGGTAATTGCCTTCAGCTGCCCTGATGGTAGATGAAAAGAGCCCCTGAGAAAGCTGATATCCATGCAGAAGCAGGAAATTTGAAGCACTAAGACAGTGGTGTTTATCTGCACAAAAAAAAATCATGCGCTTACAGTAATAATTAAGGTACAATACTAATAAATAAGGGCCCTCTTAAATTGCCATCAAGGTCTCCTCCACTGTAATGGATATCTGAGATCTCACACAAGCCTCATGAAAATATAGAACGGCTTCACACTCTATTGAAAAATCTTCCACCCTTTTTTCCCATTCCTGTCCCTGCTAAGCTCATTGCAAGAACAGATCTGGAATCAGGCCGCCATTTGAACTCTTTTAGAACAGTGAACAAGTTTGAAAGGGCAGGCGACACCGCATCATCCCTTACATTGTTACACGATACCACTGTGAGGCTTTTGAGATCAGTCCATAACAATACCACCGATTCAAGACCTTCGGTTGTTAACTGTGAGCATCCTTCTAAAGACAGCAATTTCACTCTCCTGTAAAGAAGTAAAAGATGAAATATGTTACACCTGCAGATCCACAAAGCAATACACGCTATGAACAGAAAAATATGTTGATTTTTATCCTATGTTAATTGTTGATTTTTATCCTACGTTAATTGGCTCATGTCTAGTCATCTAGCATATGTTCACCTTACACATTCATGCCAAATGTTGGAAAGGCGGCCCCTTCTTTAGTGAAGAACCCTACATACAGCACTGCTATGAGATGGTAATGCAAGTGCTGGTGCAGTAGAATATTAACAAACAGTGTATGAAGAAACTGTGATACATATTACTGCAAGTTGCAAACATGACATCAAGAAAAAATCTGACAGCTGAAAAGCATCAGCAGACAAGCCATATAACTAGAATGTAAGAAATAGGGAAACACTAAGCAGCATGAGGAATAAAGACCACAACCTACAAAAGCACTGATTTAGAATTATCATATATTTTGTTAGAAAAAATACTGTAATGTTTCACTACACATATGTGCTTCTTGATCTTCCTAAAGATGCAATGCAGCTTTTGTATACATCATCCAAAGACTCTCTGATTCACAAGTAGCAGCCACCAGCCCTCACGTGTTATCATTTCTTGTATATAATATAAGCTTACAGGATATGTCAACATCCCATCTGGTTCTTGCCTAAGATAGTTGAGGTTTTCAGTTGCAATTTAATTACTGAACAAGGGATGTTTATGTGGAAGTTAGTAAAGACTGCTGGATAGAAATCACTAAAGATGTTTCATCAGCAATGCTCCTCCTGTTTGATCCACCATTGTTACAATGACATCAATCATTGCTTCAGTAAAGCAGAAATCATTGAAGCAATTTTTATGCCAAAGCCTAAGAATTCTGCAATACCTTGTTTAAAATGTCGCTGAGCTAAATCGAATTGTCGTATTGGTTGGGATAAGACTTCAGAGAACAGAAACTATAGATTCTATATGGATAGTTCAGGACCAGAGCAGGTATTCTTATTAATCTACACTCTTCTGTAGTGGAGTAATTGTCACGTTACTGTTCAAACACACTGTGGGATATGGTGATACATTGGATGATTGAAGTTTTCTTGCAGAAAGAACTCCTTACAGATTTAGTGTTTGCATAAACAAGGTTCTTATTATTAATCTATACTCTTTTTGTAGTGGTGGAGTAACTGTCACGTTACTGTTCAAACACACTATGTAGGATATGGTTTATACACTGGATGAGAAGTTCTCATGCAGAAAGAACTCCTTTACAGGTTTAGTGTTTGCTTAAATAAGGTTCCTTCATGAACATGACTGCATCCATAAATTATACTTTTGGTACATTATTATCAGATATTCATAAGTGTACATAAGAACAATTTGATTTGCCAACACGTCAGTCATTACTGTGGCTACTTATCAGAAGGCTAATTGCCATATAATGTAACTTCCCCACCTACAATCTTAAGCATAGGTGCAAGGTTTTATATGTCAGATATCGGGAAAATATTGAACGGTCAAAATCCATATTAGATTGCGGATATCGGGGATATATGTAGTAAATATCGGAGTGTCATATCTGATGATGTGCATATATAATATAATTTCCTAAACGTAATCTAAACATACTAAGAGGGCGTTTGACAAATTGAAAGTGACTTGAAAGTGTGAAAGTTACTTCTTTGTGCAAGCGTATCAATGTATCCATGTCAACATGTATGTGAAATGTAGGGTTTGTCTACGAAAACAAATTATTATTTAAAGTAGAAAGCAAAAATGTCATGCATATTATTTTATTTACTCTTTTATTTAAAATCATATCATATTTTCAATGAAGCTTGTGTAACTACAAATAAATGAATTGAAACTGAGTCGTGGTGAATCGATGTATCCACGTCAGCATGTATTTGAAATTTAGTGGTGGTTTACAAAAACAAATTATTGTTGAAAGTAAAAAAGCAAAGTTAATGTGGCATACCATTTTATTTACTTTTTTATTTAAAATCATATTATATTTTCAATGAACCTTGTGTAACTACAACTAAATGAATTGAAACTGAGTCGTGTATACATATAGTAGGTAAAATTAATCCTTTATTCGATTAACAAAATGAATCTCTAGGTATGATATTATCATCCACTATTCATACTAATTGTAATAAATTCTTTATATTTTATATTTATTACATATTTAATTGAAAACTCATAAGTACTTAAGGATTTGATATCAATTTCAATAGTTGAGGGACTAATCTAAAAATAGGAAAGATGTAAGGGACTTATCGTAAAAAAACTTCCTGAAAGGATTTCATACTCCAAGGCACCGAACCTTATCAGACCTATATTGCAAGATAATATTGGTAACATTGTTCGTCCAAAAAAAATGAAAAATGAAAAGATTTAATTAAAATTTATTTATAGTTAAAAGTGGTCCCCAGTTTTCCACTTTTAGATAACATCCGCATTTTCTAAGGAAAAATTAAATATGCATTAAATTTAATGTAGCATATATTTTGCATTTTACTTTCAAGTGCACGTTCACAGAAACAAACTCCTGAAGTAATAAATGAGTCACTTTCGCTCTCATTTTTCACTTTCATGTAAATAAACACCCCCTTAATTAAATATAGGCATACAAAAATCTAAATAATTATAATTAGGATTACTAACAAATTGTAGAAACTTACGTAAAGAAAAGAGCCCACTAGAATTTACTAATAAACTTCATAGAGCTAGAATTTTTGCTAAAAGATATTAAAGAAATTTTGCAAAACTATACTATTTAGTGACAAGCCATATAGAAGGACATATTGGCCAACACATCGGCTTATATATCGGTCAAGTTAGGTGTATATTCTCAAAATATTGTCAAACAGCGGTAAAGGATATTGAGACTACATCATTTTGCAACAAGACTTGGAAAAGAATATATCAAACGTATATATCGGCTATCTCAGAGATATTTAAGACAATGCATAAGTGACAAATCTTCATTCTCCAAAAGTATGTTATTTTTGTCCAACAAGTGTTATCAGATGCTATGTCATGATGAATGACATAGGATAGGCAGTTTGAGACTAGTCTTTAAGAGAGCATTTTGAAGCCTTAGTTTCTTTTTTGGACATCTAAGACTCTGATCTCATATTTATTATTTAAAATCTAAGACATTTGAATTATTATGTCAAACGGGTGTTATATCAAACAGACAGTTTGAGACTATTCTTCAAGAGAGCATTTTGAGGCCTTAGTTACTTTTTTGGACATCTAAGACTCCGATCTCATATTTTTGTCTAGCAGGTGTTATCAAATGCTCTGTCATGATGAATGACAAAGTATAGGCAGTTTGAGACTAGTCTTTAAGAGAGCATTTGAAGGCCTTAATTACTTTTTTGGACATTTAAGACATCTGAGACTTTGATCTCATATTTATTATTTAAAATCTAAGACATTTGATTTATTATGTCAACCACACCGAGAAAATTCTATGCGACTTTTCTTTTATTTTATACATAATTTCGACTGTGGGAGACAGAAAGACTCTCACATTAGCTTTATGAGGATATGAAATTGGCTAAAAGAATAATTGGGTTGCTACCTCTCGATGCATGATAAAATATATTTGATGTAGTTCAGTTATGATTAGAAAAATTAGCTAGACTTTTGGTGATCTCATCCTTTTCTTGTAGTTAGGATTTTATTGGTTCGGATCTTATTTGATGTTATCTTCCTCTCTAACTAGGATTTTATTTTATTTTTTGAGTTTACTTGTAATAAGGTTGAACTTTTTCTTTTAAGAAATGGAAAGATGGTGAAAAACTTTTGCGAAACATTACATGTGAGTTCCAGATATTTTACCATGTGAGTTGTTATTTTGGCATGTGAGGTGTCAAGTGTAAGGCCTAAACTTGTATCCTTTGTTTTTATCTAAATCCCTAAAATCTAAAATAAATCCTTCTCAAAAAATCTCCATCCATCCTCCCAAATCAAAATAATCAAACAAATCAAAATTGAAATAAAATGAGACAAGCCCATGACTTTAGGTCTTCCACGACGCCTTCCAACTATGACCACCATCTGTTGCCCATTGTCTTTCCTTCCTATCAATCTAAACACATGATGTTTAGTTTATAATAAAAATGTAAAGCCATGATAAGATTTTCTTCTATATTTGTAATGTTGTACAAAGTGTTCGTCACTTCTAGGCACCACACCTAGCGCCCAACTCCACAGCACCAAGGCGGGAGCCTAATATCCAACTAGACATTTTAGTGTCATTTAATTGTTTAAAAGTTATCAAAAAAGTTTCCAAGTGTTTGTCACCGCAGCAAGCATCGATGTATATGGTTGCTTCTACCAAGCACAGACAAAGGGCAATAATAAGAGAGAAGAATAACCAATAAAGAGGAAGAGAAATGTGGATGAGAAGAAAATAGAAAGCCTAAGAATTGCAACGAAAGAATGAAGGAGAAGGTGAGAGGAGAAAGGGGAGGAAGAAAATAGAGAGAAAGAGGAAGAGAAAGATCATGAAGGTCGAAATTAATTTGAATATATTAAAATAAGTTGTAAAAAAATAATAATAATAAACATTAGACAAATTGCATTTTTGAAAGTGTTGATGGTTGTCGAGACTTAAGACAATGGAAGTTTGACAAAGAGGGAAAGTTGGGAAATAAAACATGCAGAAAGGAGAAAAGTGGTTTCTTCTCTAATTAGCCTCTCTTTCAACTTTCAAATAGTTGACTTTAGAATTAAAGTTAAAACAAACAATTATATTCATCCATTAATATGCTTAAAAAGGTTCTACATAGTATCTATGTGGTGTAGGCTTGTATCCTACTTAAACAATGCATGCCCTCTTAGACACTTCTCGTGCTTAATTGGGACACCTAGATCAAAACTAAGAAGCTTGAGCAGCACTTCAACCTAAGCAACTGCCTCAACAAACTCCTATGCTTTTTGAAACACTATGATTTTGGAAAAAGAACACGTAGTTTTTCCATTTACCATAATAAGCAATT